TTAAACTTGCTAAAGTAATGGAATGAAAGCACAATATCAAAAGTTTTCAACCTAGAGAAGATATCTCCTGCTTGATCTTCCGAATGGTTCGGCTGGCTTGTTCCTGGCCCTTTTTGTCACCGCACTCTTTTGCATGAATAGCTTCCAGCCTAGCAGTATGAAATTCTTGAACAATGGACTCAACACTACGTTTTTTCCGCGGGACCTGTTGACGAACAAAACATGAATCAAGACCAGTAGCATGCTTTTCATATTCTTTGAGTAACAAGTGTTTTGAGGGATATTGATACTATATCTACTCTGATAAGACAAAATTCAATTCGCTACAACAGGAAAAAGGGGAAAATGCTTTAAGGAACTAACTGTTATAATATCCAGATTCAACTTTACATAAACATGTCATTTTCGCAAGAGAAATAGCCATACAAGCCTTCCAAGAATGTAAACCATGTATCTACTCCATCCACCAGCCCAACCCAAAGCCTGAACATACTACTACAATGAACTGGGAAATGGATACCGATAAAAGGAAAGCCTACATCATCAGATAGTCATTACTAAAGAGGCTGTGTGACACAAAGCAAGTGTACTGATGATTTATTAGTGTAGAAACATGGAAAAAGTTGCCATGAGATTTACCTGCTCTAGGGAACCATCGTCAAAAAAACCAGATTCCCAACTTTCAGCTTCATCCTGCAAATGCATAGTAAAAGAAGAATGTATAGACTCAGCGTTGCACACTTTGAATTTCAGTGGCTTTTAGATCTTTAATATTGGGAAACTTTAAGATTAAAAAACAGAGAATTTGTTTCAGATTGAAATGGGATTAAAGATAGATTTCGACGAAGTCTAGCTGCCTTAGGTCAGGACTCGTGCCCTAATTCTTCTTTTCTTTTTTTGATGAAATAAGGTGTTTCATTGATGGCATCAAACGGATGAGAAAGTCACAAAGATAAGTAGATGTAGCTCCAATAAATTGTTACAGTACTCAGCTCAGGGAGCTAACCAAAAACAGCAAAAAGTATATGGATTAAACTAGAGCAAGTGATGATGAAATCTAGGAGGGAGAGCTAAGTTGCTCGGATTCTCCAAAAATGTTGCCGCACCCGTGTCTGATCCTTCAAACATACGCTATTTTTGGAGGATCCGACACACACTCATCGACATTTTTGAAGAGTCCGAGCAGCATTGAGGGAACAGCATCACGTCCTAATTCTTTATCATGAATCTTAGTTATATTTTTCTAAGACAACAGGTAGCTGTGAAACAAAAACAATATGTTAGAAGTGTTAAGCATGCAGTAGCTAACTAGGCATAGCCACTCTCCTGCAGAACCTTTGTCAGTTACCTTTGGTCTCACTGTAGACAGATAATTCACAAAAGCTGAAATCATACACAGTGCAGTAATTTAGCACCACAGACCCATTGTACCCGCCAGTCGAACTAGAAGTATCAAATAGAACTGTATAAATACCTCTTCCTGTTGTTCCATATACTGACGGATCCAATCAGCTTGTGCGCGTTCAACTGTACGTAGAGATTCACTATCACTTCGACCCTTCGGCACAACTGAAACTTTAGGTATTTTCTCATCTTTAACTTCTGCCACAGATGAATCTGCTGAAGGAACCCAATCTTGTCGAGCAGTTGATATGATACCAACAGAACCTGCAAAAAATGCATATTCATGAACTTAACTTCTTTCTCCTTAACACAAAATTCCTCAATATGGCTGAGTCTGGAAATTAAACAGAACTTTTTTAATCAATACCTTCGTTCAATTGGGAGGTACCACTTGAAAACTTCAGAGGAAGCTCATTTCCTCGCAAATTCAAGCATAGCCAATCTAAAGCAGCTTCAAACGTGGCTCTCTCCTTTGTAATTTTTTTGAAATGGTAAATATTATTAAAAACTATTTCAGAGAGAACGTGTCTGATTATATCTCCAAATAACTAAAAAGGAACACATTCTATGTGTCAAAAACAGTAATCATGTATATTTCTTGAAATTACACCGTTAAATTGATCATTAAATTTTGTGATTGGAAAGATGGACGTTTTCTTGATTAGTATAGTACCTTGAGAGCGGATAAAGCACGTTCAATTTGCTCATTGGTAAAGCCCTCGCAAGAAAGCTTTTCGTAGATAGAACTAAGTTTCTTGGCCTTCTGCGCTTTTGAGAGAGCATCCTCTGCTGGAATAGGATTCGGAGACTGAGTGGAGCGGCCTGAATTAAGCAACAATCGTCGGAGGCGATTCTCGTTCTCGGCAGAAATTTGCAATTTGGGACCTGTGGAAGAAGAACCTTTGCCTTTGGATGATTGAGGTTTCTTCTTCGGTGCCATAGAAGAAAATGGGCGGGAGACAGAAGTAAATACAAAGTGAAAGAAGTAACAATGGTGAGACAGTAGCAGAGAGAAAATTTGATCGCCAGAGTTCAGACGCAGACCGGACCGATGGTTGTGAGCCCAAATAAAAACGGTCGATGCTGTTGGCCTAGCTTGTACGCGGTCATGTTTAGTACCGTGTGCATTTGATTTCATCTAGGTGATTTGAAATTTTAAAAATTAATGTTTTGGACACGAATTTTTATTTTATGATTTTTTATATAAAAAAATAAATTGAGAATTTGATATTATAGTATTACATTTTTAAAATATAAAAATTAACTCACAAATTTATATTTTATTTTTAAAAAAACTCACCATTTTATATCTATCAACTACTCTACTATTATTTATATGATTATGTAACAAAATTTATACTAGTTGATATTATACTCTTATCAATTTCTATTTCCATCACATGATGGTAAATTACACCCCTACCCATTCCAAACTTTTGGAAAAAAGTCATCTCTTAAAATAATATTAGTTTGTTTACACGAAATTATCTCATTTCCGTTATGTGTTTTTTTTAAAAAAATAATTATAAAAAAATGTTATTTTTATTGATAGATAAATATTATATTTTTAATATTGGTTTTCAAACAAATGACTTTTAGCTTCATACAAAATATTATGCTATCATTCTCAGGATTTCAAAGGATGTGAATGAGATCGTGCAATCTGATCAAATGAACTTTTGATTTCTCATTGAAATAAAACATGAACCATTATGTCAATCATTGACACACAAGTGAAATTGTCATATCTCGTGCAATGTTATATAATTTTTGCAAGAATATCAAGAGAATGATGAAATATTTACGGAATATGAGCATAATGATATAGTTATTACTGGTATTGACTAACAGACAACTCAAAGTAACAATATTGGTTTATTTCCGGTCATTTGATCGAGAAATGCATGTTCAATGCGAGGAGATTGACAGTACTATGTGAGAGGATCTTAATAAAGAGCAGAACACTACAACACATGTTAAGTTTTATTTTTTATTGAACTAAAATTCAATTAATAAACGTTGTATTTTTTTCTTGAATTAGCTTTGTGATATTGTATTATATTTTTGCTCATTTGGTAAGATTGTATAAAGAATTAGAGCGATTTTGATAGTTTTCACAACTTATGAGCTTTTTTGTGTTATGAGCAAGAACTACGACTTAAAAATTCAAATTACATGTCCAAACAAAACTTCAACTTCATTTTATATGATTTCATATCATGATTTTCTCTCACATGACCAAACGAGGCCTTAGACGTGGGACTGTATTATTGTTAACTCACGTACTTTCTGACTGGCTTAATACGTTAAATTGGCTTTTTTATTGTATTAAAAATTACTAAATTAGTTACGTCGATTTATTAAATTTATAAATCAAACTGACATACATTTTTTTTATTTTCAATTTTCGTTGATTTTCTCAATTCTTTTGCTTTCCTCAATTTTTATACCATTACATTGTAAATAAAAGTGTACAAGCTTCGAAAAAATAAAACATTCGAAAAATCAAGAAACTACTAACAAATCATAGTCAATTGATATGTATTTTTATCAACAAAAATTTGCATGTTGCTTATGAAGACAAAAGGCTGCAGTATGTTAATATGTAACCACCGCAAGAAGAAAATGGATGGAGATATGCTACTTCTTAAAGTAAGTACGTAATTCATACCGTTATTATTGCATACTTAAAGTAGTTTAATTTAGCTATACTGATAATATAAAAATATCTTTTATTTTTAGTGACATTAATAATTGGAAAATAAGATAAATAATTAATTACAACATGTTAAAATATATACATTTTGTTGGCACCCCCTGTGTATATGTGAGTTAAATACTATTTTTTTCGTCTCATATTTTATGTGACAGTCTTTCATTTTTTTGTTCATCTCAAAAAGAATATCATTTTACTATAATTAGAAATAATTTAATTTTAAAATATCCATTTTACCTTTCATGAAAATATTTTCAGCCACACAAATATCTAAAAATTGTTTTAAACCACAAGTTCCAAAAATCTTTTTTTTTTTTAAATATCGTATTAAGTCAAATGGTGCCACATTAATAGGACGAAGGGAGTACTAAATAAAAATCTTATTAGTACTATACGAAAATTTTTGTTAGGAAGCACACTTACTTCCTTTAATAGATTTTACATGATGCAAATCTAAATTAATCGAGATTTAATACAGATATCAAACCTAAGGAACAAATAAAAAGAGAAAGATAAAACCTTAATTCATTTGCTTGGTAGTTGAGGAGTCAACTTCTTCCAACTTCAAAATCCCTAAAAACTTAATCTTCAAACAACAGTATCTCTCTATATCCATATATATGATCTCTAATTCACCAGCTTGCCATTAGACTAGCTACTTACATATACACTCCACCCCACACTAGACCAATCTCCATTATCAAAATCTCTTATAACTGAATATATTTGAAGTAAAAGCAAAGAAAACTCTTTCAACCTTATAGCAATCATGATCCAATAATAATAATAATAATATTGTCTCACATATCTCTCTCCTTTCCATATCTTTCAACCTTTCAAACAAATTAAAACACCATGGAAATAACACCAAAATTATCATCATCAGCCATGGATTATCATTCCAACGTTGATTCTTCACGCCCTTTTCGCTCCGTCAAAGAAGCCGTAGCCATCTTCGGTGAACGATTTTTGGCTAAAGAAATCTATTCTCCAAAGCCTTTCACATTTCCAACTCAAGAAAGTCCATGGAATACAAACAATTATTCTCCTACAAGTGCTAATTCTCAAGAAATTGTTTTAAGTGCCACGTCATGGAAATCTGCTTCTTCACCAAGTCCTCAAGATTTGAATGATCCTATTGTTGTGGAAGCACTGAAGAAGCTAGAAACTGAGCTCGAAGAAACAAAGGCAGAATTGAAGCTTATGAAAGCAAGAGAATCTGAAACTGAAATCGCATTAGCTTCTTTAAACGCAGAGCTTCATAAGAACATGTCCAAATTGGCTCAAGCTGAAGCAACTCACGCAGGTTAGAGACAGATCCATAATTTTAATAATTACTTAATAAACATTATTATTATATTTGAAATTTTTATCTAAAGTTATGAGTTCAGTTCCCTAACTAACAACATACATATATATTGCAGGTGCAATGGCAGCAGCAAAATCAGTGAAAGTCAACAACGAAGATTATGGGAATAAGAAAAAGGAAATGATGAGATCAGTGAAATGGGAATCATCATCACCAACATTAGCAGAGATGTTAACGATTGGAGAAACAGATCTAGGTTTGCTTGGGAAGAAAAAGGAAAAAAAGAAGACAATGAAGAAGAAGCCCATCATTCCACTTATTGCAGAGTTGTTTTCAAGGAAAAAAAGAAGTTCTACTAGTGTTGATAATCCACTTTTTGCTTCTTCTCATCTTTTCTGAAATGAAGAGAATTAATACTTAATAATGAGAAGAACTACGTACACTAATTACTATATATCGTTGCTTGATGTAACTTAATTTTTTCTTCTTCTGGATTTTTCGTTGAGATTCAAGCCTGAGGAAACACCATCATCTTTTTAATTCGTGTGTTTGTGTATAGTGATGCTCTTTTTTTTGGTTCCTCTCAAAGTTTTATATTTTATAATTTTTCAATATTTCCATGTGTCAATGTTCTAGAAGAGGAGTACTATACTTTGTTATTCCTGTTTTATATATGTATGAGCTAATTTGAATTTTATGTGTTGGGTAAAATATTTATACAGTTAAATTACTCGAAGGTAATGCGCGCATGCACACAACATGGAGTAATATATTACTGAAAATATTTATACCGTCTATATATAACCTGAAATCATAAAATTTTGAAGGGAAATTCGAGAAAAATGATTTCATTATTAGTTTTGTTTTTCCGATCAAGAGTACAACAAAGTGTCGAAAGAAATTATGGTAGAATGTAAATTATCCTAGCTAAAATTAAGAAGAAACTAATTCTTCATTTTTAATGGAAAATTGCATAAGTCATTGTAGAGGTAAAAAGAAATTTTTTAATTAGAAGGAGAACTATTACAAAAGTAGGGGGCATCAAAGTATTTTTCGTTTTCTTTTTTAGTGATGGTACAACTGCGATTTTATAAAAGAAAATTCCGGTAGAAAAGACAAATCCAAACATGCTCCAAAAGACCAAAACCTAATATTTCCTCCATCTACTTATAATTGTTATATTTTCCTTTTTTTTAGAGTTAAACTTTAAGAATTTTGATCAACATTTTACGATGTACTCCCTCTGTCCACTATTGTTTGTCAGGATAAGATCATGCACAATCCTTGAGAAAAATTTAATATAAGGTGCAATTTGACTAATATAACACTATTATCAATCATTATTAAAATGATTTGTACTTTTTGAAAACTATAAAAACAATTTTTTACACATTAAAATAGTCTTGTAACTTTAAAATGACTACTTTTTGAAACCAATAGTTAGGTAATTATTAAGGGCAGAATTAGAAAAAAAGTGACTAATTGTTTCTTGAATGACAATTAATTTTGGATAACTAGTTTTAGTTTATCTGACAAACAATAGTGGACGGAGGGATTATTTTTCATCATATTAATATACAAAAAATTGCAATTTATTGTATAATTTTTGAATAGCTATATAATAAATTAATCAAATTAATTTAACTTTAAAAATTAATTAAATTGACTTAAGAAAAGCACACGATTAAAATGGATGGATAGAGTGAGTGGCAAGTATAAAAATAAGACCAACATGGGTTGTGGTGCATTGGTGAGAGTGCTTCACCCTTAACCAGAGGTCTCAGGTTCGAGCCTTGGGTATAAAGAAAATCTTATTGGGAGCGTCACCCCCGAATGGGCCCTGTAGAGCGCGATCCAGATTTAGTCGGAGCTCTAATGTGGGCTCCGAACATCGGGTGAAAAAAGTGGAAAAAAAAGTATAAAAATGAGAGCAAAACAAAAATAAAGATGGACACACAAAAAATAAATTAAATTTTCCGGTCCACAAAATACAAATAGAAGAAAAAGGGAAAACAAAGAAAAAAAACAAGAAGGGAAGTGAGAGAAAGTAATCAAATTATTTGTGATTTTCAGAAACAATCATCAAATTTGCAGTTGGTGAATTTGATTTAATTGGATAATTTGATACAAAGAGATGCAATCAGCCATGCTATTGAATCCTCCAACTCCTTCTTCTTCATATGTTTCTAGAAGTTTACAAACCCTAGATTCTCCATCTTCATCTTCATCATGCTCTCCTTTTTCTTCCACCGCCACTCTATTTCTTCCTCCTCCTCCTCTCAAGGTATATCGTCTTGCCGTCGAATTTTGTCTTTTTTCATTTGCCTAACCATCTGCCTTTACTCTGCAGATTTCGGGTTTCTTTGGAACTCGAGTTTCCTCTCGGACTAGGCCCAATTCATTACCGCGCTCCCTGCGTAGAGCTTCACAGTATCGAGGTGTGCTTTTTGTTTCCTTTTACCTTCATGAATACAATATCGTTAATTTGTATTTTATATTATAGCTTGTACCGAAAAATATGGGGATTTTTTTCCTTGCTACCTGTTTTAATTGGAAATTTTGCTTAAATCATTTTTATGTTCAGAACCAATATGTTAAAAAGATTTTAGCCTTCTGTGGAATTAACTAACTGTTATATTATTGAAATTGATTAGTTTGTAATGAATTTTCAGATAATCACTTACTTGGATGATTGGAAACCGCAAGGCCCTAAATTTATCTCTTCTATATTAATATACCGGAAAGGATAACAAAGGTTCTTATTAGCTTAGCCTGTTGGTTTTTAAGATTAGGTCACAATGTTATTGTTCTTTGTTCGATGGAATACTTAGAGTTAGCGGTAGTAGTTTCAACCTTGCTAATAAATGTTTTGAGACTCTGTGTAGAATCTGAAATGATTTGCTTGTTGGCTCTTGGTGCAGTTGTAAAGGCTGTTGCAACTCCAAATTCAGCAGTAGAGCCAAATTCAGCAGTAGAGTTACCGCTTACTTCAGAAAACATTGAGAGTGTGCTGGATGAAATTCGACCATATCTGATTTCAGATGGAGGAAACGTTGCATTGCATGAAATTGATGGCAATGTTGTAAAGCTAAAACTACAAGGAGCGTGTGGATCCTGTCCAAGTTCAGTCACGACAATGAAATTGGGAATTGAACGTCGTTTGATGGAAAAGATACCAGAGATTGTTGCGGTTGAAGCAGTACCAGATGAAGAAACTGGCCTTGAGCTTAATGAAGAAAACATAGAGAAGGTAGCTGCTTCTCTCCGTTATTTATATGTCTTACATACAACTGACACAATCCTTTCGAAACTGCAAAGCTGAATTATATGATCTTCAACACATCTTGGAGACTTGGACTAATTAAGTCAGTCCTAGATTACTTTGTCGTCATGCAAATTGATATTGGATTATGTAGTTATAGATTATTTTGAATGATTTCTCAACTTATAAATCCATTGATCTAGGACCTTCTAGTTTGTGGCACTAAGAAACGGAAAGTCTCAGAGTTGTTTCAAGAACAAGACCATTCTAATTATGTTCTGGTCCCCCCCCCACCTTATATCTGTTGGGTAATGTGATGAAATATTAGAAGTGATTCCATGTTTGTTACTAATATTAATTGGAAGTATTATGACCTGTTGCCCCAGATCCAACTATTGATGGTTCTTCTAAACCAGTAAAGTTGTCATGTATAATTACTTAGTTCATAAGAAGAACATGCCATTTTTACCTTCAAAGTTGGCTGAACCAGCTATGCTCCCTTCCTGGATAGGCAGACCACATACTTGAGTCTGTTGCAATAGTGCCAAGAGCTGACCTTACTACTCCATGGGGAGTTGTCTGCTGCATTAGATTGATTGTGTTCCTTCAGTGTTCTCAAGATTCGCTACAGAAGCCTCCACACCGGAGTGGAGCTTCCCTTTTTCCTCTATTAGAGAATCTGTTAACTTGCAACACTTATCGACACTGCCTTCTTGTTATGAGACTCTAGCCTCTGCCCTTATGAAATCCAGCATTAAGAAACTCATTGAGTTAGACTGGCTCAGTCATGAATTGGAAGTAGTAGGTTGCACTTCCATTTGAAGCTCATCCTGAATGACCTATGGGAGGAAATTGTGGCATGATTATATTGTTTCTTCTGACTCCAATAAGTAGCTGATTCATTAATTTTGTTTGAGAGCTTGGCATTAGGTGTGATTGAACTGTGCATTTCACATGATTTTCATAAGATATATTTGGATTATGGAGTTGCTCCAGGGCTTTGATCTAGTGGTAAGAGAGTAGCACATAATGTGTGGGTTAGGCGCACGTCACGGATGGCCCTCACCACAGACTAAAGCTTGGTATTAAGTGGAAAGGTAGAGGAATGCGGGCCAATTATTAACTGAGTTCCGAATTTTTTGCCGCTGACCCTCAGAGATCTTATGATTAGCAGTAAAAGAGGTTTAAAATGATGGAGTTGGAATGACAGAATTTTTGAAGGCCATAGGAGAAATTTACATAGCCTAAATAAAGATGTCTTATTTTACTAGCCTTTTGGTGCAACTTAGTTATTGCACATGATTTTTTATTTTTTTTGATGACCGAGAAATCCGTTTGTGACCCGCCCTTTGGACCAATCACAGCTTTCTAAACTCGGTGGATAATGCCCCCCCCCCCCCCCTACCCTTCTCCACTTAAATATCAAGTTTCGCTTTGCATGGTGTGGGGCTTGAACCTGCGACCTAAGCCACAAATCCTCGACCTTTTGCCACTCGAGCTAGGCCTTGGGGGCTAGTTATTGCCAGTGTTATCAAAGGCGCGCTTAAGCCCTGAAGCGAGGCTCAAAACGTGTTGAGCGCTTCGACTCGCTTTATGTGCGTTTCAATGTTGTCATCAAGGTTCTAAGGCAAACGTTTACTTGCCAATGAGCCTCGTATGAAGAAGTGACACTAAATAATTGATATTTCACTTTATCATAATTTTTTTTCAATTTCTTTGGTCATATATTTGTCATTCATGTTTATAATTATTAGTCTTGGACGAAACATATATATTTGTATTCTTTTCTCCCTTTGCGCATTTTTCATTAAAGCCCACACTTTATTTGCGCTTAAAGCCCTCACAAACCTTAGAGCTTTTTTGCGCTTTTCGCCTTTGATAACACTGGTTATTGCACATAACATTGATGCAATTTTAGATATAAGGGATCTGCACGATCTGTAATTATGATTTATCGCACTGGCTTAGTGCAAGTACTTATAAATCTAAGATTATTTATTAAAAAGAAATACTGGAGTTGGAAGAGCAATATGTGCTTCACTGGTACTGTATGATTTGCTTAATATGTGCACCTAGATGTTGTTGCAGTCGAAGCATAGAAACTACTTTGTCATAACTAATGCTTGTTTGTCTTGTCTGTGA